ATATTTAGATTGAACATAAAAGTGAATGAATCACTCAGGGGGCCCATTTGGTTGGTAAGGCTCCTGACTCCTACACCACCACCCCCTCCTAAAAATAGCAAAAAGGGAAGTGTGCAAAACCACACATAAAAAGAGCCAACTGTGCTTCTGCCTCAAATCGTGAACATTGCCTGTCTTCAGGAATCTCTGGCCAAAATAATTCTATCTTGAAAACAAAAGCCCTAATCCCTAAGAAATGGGGCGGAAAAATAATCTTTTCTTGGTCCCTTAACACATGGAACTCTCATAACAAAGTAAATTCTCATGTAAGTGTTTTTGATGTGGTTGTTGTATTAGTGCAGATATTGGGGAGTTCCCGTATTGTGATATTGTATGGTTGTTGTTGTGGTGGTGGTGGTGGTGTGTGTAAACAACCCCAGCCAAAAAAAGTCTCACCTAGTTTGCTGGTAAAATCATTTGTCTGGGAGGATAACATATTAATATCACAAAATTCATCCTGGTCCAAGATTGATACCTTGATCTCCAGGTTAGTGCTGGCACTTTTGGGGGGAAGAGGGTTGCTGGAAGGAGGGGTAGGGATGGAGAGGCTAATTAACGGAGCACTGAGGTTTGGTTTGGTTTTATGGCTGTTTTCTTTGTACTGACTGGGATTTTCCCAACCATGTGGTACAACCCCGCTCTGCCCCTTTCCAAACCTAGAACAGTTTAGCAGTAAAACCCACCGCTGTGTATAAACTATCTAAAATCCTATTTCCTTGAAAAATGATTGCACTGGCACGCATTTTGCCCACTTGAACAGTTCAGGCCTTCCTGTAATAGGGTGTTTCCCAGCTGCCCACCTCTAATTGCACATCTGGACTCAAGAGTTCTCGAGCTTAGGACTCCGTGGCTTACACGATGAGCGCTAGAGCTCATTGGGGTGACCTGGTCCTCCACCTCAGTCTACGAAGTATACCCAGTCTTGATGTGGGTCCTATTTTCCACCCGGAAAGACTTGCGTGCCCAGTGCCTGTCAAGCTCCCCTTCCCACATCTCTGTATCCCACTGCTCATGTGCAGAGACATTGCCCTAACCTCATCTTTTACTCCAGCCACATGATAAATATGCAACTCAGAACCTTTGGCTGTAACACAGGGCAGACTCTGACCTCCCCCAAATACCCTACGCCCATATGCCCTGACCATGCCCTCCTCCCCGTTAAGTGCGTCGGCTAATGACATCTGGCAGCCACCCCCTTGAAATGTGTGTTCATATCCCCGTGAGCAGGCACGTCCAGGACTGTTACCTGGTGGTCGAGTCACAGATGACTGCCAGAGCTGCCCTCCCTGCGCCTGGGCAAGTCACGCTTGGCTAAGTCCACTGGCTATTCCATTGCTTAAGCTAAATTGTTTTTAAGAACATTTTTATGCAGAGGCCTCTCCTGGCAGCAGGTGTGCCCCTATTTGGGTTTGGTCGCCTCTCAGCTGAGCTACAGCTCCAGAAGGCTGCAGCCCTCGGAAGAGAAGGGACAAAGCCGAGTGGGCAGGGACCACTGGGTTTCGAACAAGTAGGCAAAAAATTCTGGGGGAGATAAGAAATCAACCGAAGGACTTGTATGCATGCATATAAGTACAACCAAGGGACACAAAACTCTGGGGAGGGAGGGTATGTATGGAAGAGGGGGTGGGGGGCAATGGTAAGATATGTACACAGAAATAATTTAACTTAAAAAAAAAGTTGCGGCCTGACCTCGCTCGCCCCTGGCCAGCGTGGAACGTGCTGAACTTGGGCGGCAAACCCGCTCCCGCATGCTGAGTATAAACAGCGCGCCCACGCAGCCGTCCTTTGCAAGGAGCGCCTGGACCCCGCAAAGCGCACAAAAGGAGCCCTGAGGGCAGGGCCCTAGGGCCACGCGGGGGCTGGAATGATGGGGAGCCCGGGGGCGTGCGCGCGGCGCCTGCGTGCGTGTGAGTGTCCGCGCCTGCGCGCTGCTCGAACCCTGCCTGCAACCGGAGAACGTGCGTACGCGCGGGCAGCGGCGCTGTGTGCGCGCGCTGGGCGCGGGCGCGGGCGGCGAACGCGTGGGACGTGCGCTCCGCTCGCATACCCCGGCGGGGTGCGCGGGGCCAGGCGTTCCGGCTGGGTCTCCGCGTCGCCGCCCTTTTGGAAACGGAGGGAGCGCGCCCGGCTGGGATCTGGGGAAGGGGCAGCGGGGGATGGGAGCTGAGACGCGGCGCTGACCTCCTCCCCGGGCAGCCTGCGGGTTATTTATGAGGTCTGGTTTAAAAATAGCGGCTGCCAGCGCAGTGAAAAAGGAGCTCACCCCGAGCGAGGAGGGAAGTAAGGTTGCAGAGAACGCTGTTTATGGCGATATAAATCAACGTGGAGCTAGCTTGTGATGGGAACTATGGAGAGAGTGCGTTTGGGGTGGAAACCAGGAAACAGAGTCAAGAAGGAAAAATGAGTTCTCCTCCTCCTCTGCCCTGTCCACTCCCGCAACTCCCCCCCCCCCACTTCCCCCTTCCCTGGGCGCCCGCGATGCCAGCGGGGAGGCGGGCGAAGGGTGAGCGCACCCGTCCCCACCAGGGTCTTCTTCCCTAAGTTACAGGAGGCTCCTTAGAGGGAAATACATGTAAATAAACAACTTGGAAGATTTATGGGAAGGAGTTCCGTTTTATAGGACTGTATTTATAGAGCCAAGCGCGGGCTCACTTATAAATAGATTAATGGGAAGCTAAAATTAATGGACTTGGGAGCTGCGCGGTTTAATTTCTGAGGCTTCGACGTGACAGACAAGCGCCCTCGCAGACCGGGCACGCGAGGCAGCTTGTGTTGAGTCTGGAGCGCCCCCAAGGAGGGGCAGATCCCATTGGGCCAGCATTTCTCCGGGGCTCTCAGCTCAGGCTGCCCGGGGTCCCTAGGAAGAGATCCCATGGGGCTGTTATTTGCACATGAAGAAAAAGAATGTAGCCTCATTAATAATAATAATAATAATAATAATAATAATAATAATAATGGGAGCTTCCTCTTAGCATTATTTTTAACGGGGGCGGGCGGAGGGGTTAAACCGCTAATACCGGCAGGCAGGCAGGCTTTGGGAGAACTGTAAACAGCTACTGCCCTCCAGGCAGACAGGGGCAGCAGCGACACTTCTCGAAGGTCACCTAGGGTCCCCGCTCTGGGCCTGTGGTCAGGGTCCACTGCTGCAGCTCTTTCCGCACCCCCTCCGCTGCCTGCCGGGTAAGACAGTAACCAAGGGGCAGAGGAGCTCAAACAGGCTGCCCAGGGCCATCCTGTGAGCCAAGGCCAATGCTGTCTCCGGCTTTCCTACCTTTTCTTCCCTTCCCAATTTTTCCTTCCAGCTCTTTCCTCTAGATTTGTTGTTGTTGTTGTTGTTGTTGTTGTTGCTTGTTTTCCCCCCTCATATTCAGGGCCCTCAGGATCTTGGGTTTTACCCAGTAAAGGTGATTGTCTCAGATCCTCTCCTCCGATAGTGATGGGTAAAGGTGAGGGAGGGATAATAGATGGCAGGTATATGTTTCTCCAGGGCTAGAGCTAAACTTCAAGTAGAAAAATTTGCCATAGGGTATGGAAATTACTCCGCACCCTCTTTGTATAATCCCAGTCCTAACCAAACACTCACTCTTCAAAAAGCAAATGAAAAGGAAGCTCAGTATGATAGAGTTGAGCCAGAGACATAGATTTATGCCTGTATTCTTTCTAGATGAATGGATTGCGTGCCTTCTTAATCACACTTCCCTTGGTTTTTCTTTCCTTCCTTCTATTTCCCTTCCCTTGGGGGGGGTCTTTTCTTTGATTTAATCATTTATAGTTTTAGCCATGATGCACCCCCTTTTAATGAATAAAAAAGACATGGGAGTGGGAAATCGCTCATAAACCAGATTACATTGTCCCTTCTGTCTTTCCTTATAAGGAAGTCCAACTGGGAATGATTACCTGAAAAACACAAAATTGATATAGGAGGCATTTTAGTAAATAACTGAGCACCAGCTATATGTTAAGTACTCTCATAACCCGAGTTTATCAAGATTCAGCTTTGTCTATTTTCCTCAAATGTATGTACATATTGCTTTTTCTGCTTTTAATGATTAGGCAATGTTGATGTTGGAAAGGACCTTCGGAGGCCCACGTTTTATAGATAAAGACCTTGAGTTACAAAAAGAAACAGTGACTCGTCCAAACTGTGTAACATCTTGGACGACTTTATTTTCCTAGCCTCGGGGAAGACGCCCAAGCCTTGGGATGAAGTACAGATTGAGAGGTTTGGTCACTGCAGCCCATTAGGACTGGGCTGCAGTCCATTAACCCAAATGAAAAAAGCTCTGGCTCCTCTGAGCCTCTGAGCCTAAGGTAGGCACCAGCCTCCCAAGACAGCTCCGCCTTTCCTCCCCTGGGTCAAGGGTCTTTTTCCTCGTTTGTTTATGGAGGGCCTTGCACTGCTTATGAGGTCAGGGTTGTGTTCAATCCTGAAATGAGCCAGTTGGCTCCTCCAGATCCCAGATCCCAAGGTTTGGGGTGCAACAGCCCAAACTTGGCCTTATGGGCATCTCTCAAGAGGCCTTTCCTTCAAGGAACACTGGGCCAGAACGCTGTACAACCAGCAGCGAGGACAGGAGCATCATCTTTGATTTGCATCGGAGCCCCTGTAGTTGCTGACACGTGACTAAATTTACATTTTGGGGAGTGAGTTTGACGCCTCATTCTTTAAAAGGGCAAAATAAGGCAAGAGATACCATTCACATGAGCTTTTATTGCAACCTGGTTGGAAATAGAAGAGTATCAGTCTGGAATTTTAAAACACCTCTACTGAAAACAAAAGTGTCCATTTTTTTTCTGAGAAGCAAAATTTATTGTATTTATGATGTAACAAAGACATTGCCTGTGTTTTGGTGAGGGGGTGGGGGACAAAAAACCTCTTGGCTATGGTTGGAGTTTTCTGTCTGTTAATTTCTGGATTAAACAATTTCCATATTCAAGAAACTGAGGATGAAAACACAACAAAAAACACAACGATCTTTTTATTTATGTAAATCAGATCAACACTGGACAATAAACCAATTTCTACCCATTACCATAACAGCTTGTCTATAAAGAACAGAAAAATTCAGATAGGATTCTATCTAGGGTCAAGCGGTTTTTGTTTTTTTTTAACCACCCATTCACAGAGGTATAGATTCACAGATAAATAATCCCAAACTACTTGCTCGCCATATTTACACATTCCCATTAAATTAAGCATAAATAAATATATACAAACTTAACATGGATACCCTCCAGCGCACTTCTCCTGAAGAGTCAACAGATGGAAGTTATGTGGCAAAAACTATGTTAGTGAATTAGAGACCAACTCAGCAGAGGAGTCAATTTTGGCCTTTAAAGAATAGTTCTTGTTCCGCTTTTAGAAAGAAAACAAAACTAATTTTGGTATTTTTTTTTTCTTCCTTCTCCCCTTCTCTCCCCCTCGATAATTTAACATACTTCAGCACAGGAGGGAAAACACTGTGTGGGCTCTTGAGGCAACTTCAGATGGTATAAGGTTATTTCCTTTCCATGTAATGTATTACCCTTCCAGGATATCAGACGTGATGACAAATTCTCTAAAAACACTCCAAATAGGAACACGTTGCCATATTAAGTAAGGCTTTGTACCGGAGAGACAGTGTGTGGATAAGTTTGGGGTTTCAGGTTTTCCATTCGACCGTTTTCTTAGGATATGAAATAATTGCTTCAGAGAAAGTAGTTTCCGTGGCCAAAGAAAATAAAACAGCCCCCCAGTCTTTGAAAAGCCTTCTGGGTGTGGAGCCAGAGAGGGGGAAGGTTCAAGATACTTGGGGCAGGGCAGGGGTGGGGCACCTTCCGAATTTGGGGGAGAAGTTCAAGATCACTTTGAAATTGGATGCTCACCCAGAACCAGAACCAATATTTGGGAAGCTCCCCTGAGACTCACAATTCCTATAGGAAGAGGCAGGTGGACAGAAAAGGGTCGGGACCTCTTTAGAACTTCCAAAGGAACTTGCAAAGTGGAAGGTGTGAGGGACTGAGCGCGCCTGCATCCTGACTGGTTCTTTCCTTTCCGTCTTCAATGCTTTTGGTTTGGGACTGAACCTTAGGGAGGGGGCCCGGGGCCTGATAAAATTGTCCAGAGAGAGGAGGGTGGGGGGAGAGAGCTGCAACTCACCTGTTTGGTTTGAAAACAAAACTCAAAAAAAAAAAAAAAAAAAAGCTCGCTTTAAAAAAGGCAAACTCTTGCGTTAATCCTGTTTATTGATTGATGGGCCCAAGGAAACCCAATCTTTTAATAACTCAATTATCAGATAAACATAGTGGGCCTGGCTAAGGGCAGCAAGGGGGCGGGGTCCTACAGGAAAGAAGTGAAAAAGGGTGAGGGGACCAGGGCTGTAGGAAACCCTACTTGATGGGGCGTGGGAGGGACTTGGGAATGAGAGCCAAGTAAGACCATTCCTATCCCATCACCGGCTTCTGGAGCCTGAGGATGGAGAGAGTTTTCATCCTAGCAAAGGTGGGGGGAGGATTTCCGGTTCCTTGGACAAGTCTAGGCCCTTTGCCCTCCAGGAGCAGGCGCCCAGGGTGGCTGCTGGGAGCAAAGCGCTTAGGTGGTGCTGAGACCCCCTCCCCGCCTGCAGCCCCCAGGGGCGCCTCCCCGTTACCTACTGGAGCAGGGGGCTATCTCGGTCGCCTTAGCCCTTAAGATGGGACCGAGAGCGGGAAGGGCCCAGGCGACCCGCGGCCCCTCCAACGGCTGATTCTATGTCCTCAACACGACTGGGACCTGCACAGTAAGAGCAAGGCGCGTCCATCGCGTCTCTCGCACGTCACACGCGTGGGGCGCGTTGCCCTGCAAGGAAAGGAGACGATGGTGTTCAGTGTGCTTTCTCCCAGCCTCCGGCAATCAGAACACACCTACTCCTAGCGGCCAGGCCTCGGACCAAGGCCCAGGCCTCTGAGCTGGGGAGAGATGGGGTGCCTACAGTTCGGCCTTGGCTTTGGTAATGCCTTCCACTCTCCTAAGGCTGAGGCCCCCCAAAGGAGCTGGCAGTGTCACATTAACCCTTGCTTGGGCCCTCCTGGTGACCTGAAACCAGCTCCCTAACTCGTCACCTCCCCCATAAAAACATCTGCGCAAAGCTCTCAGCAGCTTCCTACACCCAGCCCTTCAACCTTCCAAAGCCAAGACCGACCTGGCAGCAGAACTGAGCATCCCAGAGGGTCCTAACTGGGAAGCCCTTTATCTCCAATGAATGTTGCCAAGGTCCTAAAGTCTACTTTGTATAAAGAGGTGCCTGTATGGATACTCAATTTGGAGACCTGCCTCACCCACCCCTCCCCAGGGGATTTCCCACCGCTTTGGGAGGGTGGGGGACCATGGGTTCCAGATCTTATTTCAAGATAATGCACAGACAAAACTCAAGAAAGGAGAGGGGCTGCCAGGACTGAGAGATCTTAAATACGAAACTTTATCCACTGGGAAGAGCCCCAGTATATCCAGACGTCGAAATTCAACGCTGAAATACATCTCCTTTCACTTTGCATTGTTACCATCATACACCAAAAACAAGTGCACGTCTGGGAGGGTGAGCGTGCCTCATTCATAAAGCAACTTGTAAGAGAGCAATTGTCGCTAAAACATGGAAGCTTGCCCCAGGCTCGTCCCCAGGACATTGCCAAAGCTGTTTCTCTGCCCGCTAACATAGCAATCGCCAAAGAGCCCAAGGAAAGGCAGGGCAATCTGGTTAAACTATTGGGCTCCGAGAACCCTTAACTCCTCTCCCCTAACATTCGTTTTTTGCAGTTCAGCCGTTTCACAGAATTCCACGATGAGGTATCTGCTAGCAACTAGACTCAGAGCTGCTTCAGTCTCTTATTGGCCACTTTCTAAATTATTCCCTTTGAGCTTCTTTAAAGAAGTGCACCTGCAGAATTCTGACACACAGGCTTTGATTAAAGAGGGATCGGATTTTTTTTTTTCTCTGTACCTTATAGGTTGTGTAGGAAGCCCCAGTCCTCTTTGAAGAAGCTCATAAACCATGCGGGCAAAGCTTTGGAAAACAGAAGAGAATGAAATGGTACATACCCCTCCGAAGGAATGACATACTAATCAACGTATTCATATTGTGGTGTGGGCTTTTTGTTTGTTTGTTTTTACCATTAACAAATGCAAGGTTCTCTGTATACCGATGCCAGCAAGGCTGGGAACTAGTAACATTTCTGAAAAGAACTGATGATGAGTCTGAATCAACCTATTGGTTTGGCTTTTTGCTCAGGGCGGGTACCAAAAGCTGCAGCCACCGCCGCCTGCATCTCCGCTGGCCTCCCACCCGCCCTTCCTCTCCCTCCCTAAGCAGGCAAGCGGCTGGCCCAGGAGCCCGCACCGCACCGCACCGCACCGGTGAGTTTGAAATTGGGGTGGGGGGGGAGGAACAGGGGCCAGAGGGGCCTGAAACACAATGCAAAAAGGCCTAACCACACTCTTGTTCATCCAGGAAGATTCCTGTGCCAGCTGGAGGAAGGGAGGGAGGGAGGGCAGAGTAGAAAAGGGTAGTTGGGAGAGGGACGAGGTGAGGTTAGGGGGGAAGGGAGGGGACTTCGAGACCATTTTTCCTAAAAAAATATTAAAAATGAGAAAGTTCGTGCGATTCAGTCAACCAGCTGTCAAAAGCACTAACACCAACAGTTTCTCCGACTTTCTTCCAATAAGTTAGCATGTTCTCGTGTTTAGTCTTACGTTTATTTTTTCCAAAGGGGATGTGGGGGGGAAAACATGGTTTTTCTTTTATTATCAGTATGACTAAGCTCGAAAAAACCGAAGTGGAAAATCCGGATGGTTGTCTCCCAAGTGTTATCTTGAAATAGACATCGAGAACCGATCCTGTTGCTCCGTGGGACGCCTTGGCTTTTTAAGTTTACTTAGCTTTTCTGGCTTAATTTTGATTGCATATGTACTCTACCTAATATACTTCTTCCAAAGCCAATCCAGTATTTTAAAGCTAACATTATTTTTTTTTCCTCCCGTTTTCCTTTCGTATTTAAAACATTTTTTTTCCTTTCTTTCTTTCTTTTTTTTTTTTTTTAAACGTTTCATTTCCTGTGTTTCTCCTCCTTGTCGCCAGTTTTACTACCTGGGCCTTCCCCAGACGTGTGCCTGTTAGTGGCGGTGTTGTTCAAGAACATCTTGTCCATGCCTTTGAGCGCCTCGGTGAGATAGTTCTGCAGGGCCGTGAGCGCCGCGCAAATGGCCGGGGCGCCGAAGCCGTGCGTGATGAGGCTGAAGTGCGTGAGGCAGCTCTGGATGCCCGGCTCCAGGATGGGGCTGGGCCGGCTGTTCCCAATCGGCGTCCGGTCCTGCGCCAGCAGATCTGTAAATTCTTTACAAAGTTGCCTGCGAAAGGGGTGGGAGAGGAGCAGGGGGAAAAGGAAAAAAAAAAAAAAAAGAAGAAGAAGAAAAAAGCACCCTTAGCGCCGTTGTCATTGACATTAGGAAGGAGATGCTCACACAAGCCCAGAGGCGTCGGTCACCGCAGAGCCAGCCGGGGAGCGAGGCTAATGTGAGCGATTCCGCTCTGTTTCCTTTCCCAGCGCCCGCCCTTGCAGAGCAGCTGGGACTGGGAAGGAAAAAGGAGGGGGGGGGGGGGGAAGAGATTATACACCCCTTGCATCCCACAGCCTATCCTCCCTCCCCCCCACCCCACTCCCTATCCTCCCTCCCCCCCTTAGTTCCAGGACTGCATAGCTGTTTTGAGAAATCTGCTAGGTTTAGCGATCGGTTTTGAATATTCAGGAATGTTTAGCTCTCACCTGGCTGTTCTTTTATAAAAACCCTCCCTCCCCTCCTCCTTTCCCCTGCCTCTCCAACCTCTTGGTTATCAGGCTCAAAAAGCCCTGAAAGATTTAAGCCCCTGGGCCACAAGCCTGTCCCTGGCACCGAAGCAGATTGCTGGAGCCTTGCATGGCCCGGGGCAAGCAACTGTTTATGGCAGGAGAGAATGCTGATTCCGTTCAAAGCAAAAATCTGTTTACCTGCAGTGTTTGGGAAGGGAGGTATTTTTCCAGCTCTCCCCCCTACACACACACTTTTTTCTTTCAAGTGTGGGTGACTGAAAACCTCTGTACAACACAATTGTCGTTGATATAAAAGGATTCCGACATTGTTTAAATAAAACCTAAAGGTAGATGGTTAAGACATGGGGAGGGGAAAATTTTTGTTTGTTGAAGATTTTTTAAAATTATTATTTCCTCAAGGCACCTACAATTTAGAGTTATTTCCCAGCCTTCAAAACCCTGTGGGCCTAACTCTTAGATTAAGCTTATTTGAAAAGATTTTCATATAGGAGGTGGGCAGGAGGATTTTGGCTTGGCTCTGCTGGCAGTCAGAGGCATGGCACCCAAAGGCCACAGCCTTTTACCCACTAGCAGGCTCATTCCATCAGCCTGCCTCCACCATATCTGGGGAGGCAGAAGGGGTGGGGGTAAGGTGAAGGGTAGTGAGAAATGAAAAAGGACAGAATTCCAGCCCCAGGCCCCCTTGGGTTTACCTGACACCTGGTGACACCTGGCCTGGCCAACAGGTAATGCAGGCAGGTACCTGGAGGCTAGTGGGAGTGACCCCGGGGGCATCCTTTCCCAGAGTGCCCCAGGAGGAGTGATGGCTCACCTGGATGGGAATTCCTCCTTCTCTGCCCCATAGGAAAGGTATTTTTGTTTGTTTGTTTGTTTCAAGGCTGGTGGCCAGAAAACACTGACAGACATCCTCTCTCGCCCCCTTTTTTCTGGTTTCTCCATTCAAAATGCACACATACATCCTCACACCAAAGAAGGAGCATGGAACAGTTCTGACCTAAAAAGGGCAGTACTTAAACCAGAGGTACCCCAGAAGCATCATGGGGTTCAAATGAGCACCCATTGATTCCAATTCAGGGAATTGGACCTAGCTTTTGGGCTAGGTTCACACACAAAAATATCTTGATACAATAAAGGGAAAAAAGAAGAAGAAAATATCTTGATAAAGCTCCCAGATGGCTCTGAGACTCACCCAGGTTAAGAAGTGCTGACCTAAGAGAAGCCACAAGGGGGGGAGTTACAAGCATTCCTTAGGGAACAGAGTGGTTTGTGGAATCCTGTCATCGAATTATACATTTGGTTTTATTACCCCCCTCCCCCCCCCCAAAGTATCTTTACTCCTTTATAAAGCACCACTGGTCCCCTTCCCCCGCCACCAGACATTAGGCAAGGGGTAGGAGGGCAATTTACCCACAAAGATCTATTATATTGCTGCTGTTCTATCAGAGGAAACGCTTCTAAAAACAGGGTGGGTGCCGGGTTCGGATCATTGGAAGAGGTGGCTAAAGCCTTTCCTTCAGTTTGCACTCATTACCAAAGTGCCAATAAGGAAATTCTGAACTGGGGAGAACAAATGCTTAAAAGGCAAACATTTGAAATCTTCAAAGCCCTAACCAAGGTCTGTAAGCAATTAAAGTTCTGGGACATTAATATTTTTTGACCCTGCGGAAAGGGGCAATCAAATTCCAATCACGTCTCGAAAACATCTGGACAAATTTGAGCAAATGATTTTTCAGCCTTCCATATATTTCTTTAAATTACGCTGTCAACGGAGCGAGCCGCGTCCTCCAGCGCTAAATAAATGAGCGCCGCTGCCGGGCCGCGCCTGCCCTGCGAGGGGGACGCAGCGCCGCCCACCGCGGGCCGGAGCCGGCCATAAAACACCAACAATATGACACGGAAGCCAAAGACGGGAGTAAATCAAATAAATAGAAAACCCACTGTAAAAGTTCAAATGAGCTCTAGACCTAAATTTAGCCCGAGATTTACTATTTTCCCCTCTGGAGTTGTAGTAAATTGAACGTCTGCGGATGATGCCAAACAGCAACGTTGGAAAGAGCGTGATTAGAGCTGCGGGTAGAGATGGGCACACGCGGGGGACATGCAGACACCAGGAGTGGGCACACGTGGCTGTGTGGGTATGACAGGGAGAGAGAGGTGAAACCCAGGCAGAGTTGGAGAACTCTGAAAAGCCTGGATTCAGAAGCCTAAAGCCACAGTCCCCTGAAACTTGGAAATAGACCAGACAGCGACTACCCCAAACCCACAGCCCATAATCAACAGGGGAGGGAGGAGGGGAGGAGGGAAGGGAGAGTGCGGGCAGAGCGGGGAGGGCTTCCAAGCCTGCAATACACAGGCTGCCAACCAATCCCACTTCCATGGCTGAGCACTTTCTCGGCCCCCCCAAAAATGGAGGTCTGCACTGCCCGCCCCTTCCCTCCTCCCAAGCCAGGTGAAGCCAGGGGTTTGCAACACTCACTTGGTGGCCAGCAGCATATTCTTTCGAGAGTGCAGGTCGCTGGGGTCCGTGTGCTGCCGGTTCAAATACTCAGAAACAGCTTTGGCGGGAAACTCTGTTTCGCAGATGTAGCCAAAGTCCCGAGCTAAATGGACAGCTTCCCCTGGAAAAGCAGCAGCAGAGGTAATCATCAGCACCCGTCCTCTCATCCTGCCAGAGCAGGAGGGCTCCCTGGCCAATTCTGACTATGTACGGAAGAGGCCAGCTGCTGAGAGGCAAAAGCAAAGGTGTGCCAGATGCCTGAAGTAAAAATGAGTCTCAGGCTGTTAATTGTCTTGATGGAACAAACTTTGCTCCTGCCTCTTTTTCCAGTCTCTTCCTGATTATCCTTCCAGCCAAATCCTAGCTACCGTGTTTCCCCGAAAATAAGACATCCTCCGAAAATAAGACCTAGCACATGGAAAGATAAGACATCCCCTTGAAAATAAGACCTAGCGCAACTTTGGGAGAAAAAATTAATATAAGACACTGTCTTATTTTCGGGGAAACAGGGTAGATATTCCCTGAATAGCTTCAGGCCTCCCACACCTCATGCTCTGTCTTAAGAAAAAACAGGGCAGGTAGATTCAGAAGCCACTTTACAATTGCCCACAGACACTAGGTTGGATATTCAAGATAGACAGCACTCTTCTTAGTAGGATGATACCACTCTAGATAAATATAAAAGTCTTCCTCTCTTTGGTGTTATCTTTTGTATCTCCCTATACTTGTATTAGAAAAAAGTTTCTTAATAATAACCAATATATACAAACACAAATCATGTGTGCAGATATCCACCTATATTAAAGATGTCCCATATGGGACATTAACGATATATTCCATAAACATTTTATACATGAGTATTTCTATCCAGCAATGAAATATTTATTCTCCGTGTCTGTGTCTGTTTCCAGCTAGTTAGGTTTCAGGTTTCTCCTCTTTAGAGGTCCCTGTTATCATCCTCCTATTTAAGGGCTTTCTACTGCACAAGGGAGGCAGAGCAGCTATAGAAAACTTGGATGCCTGAGACTTTCCAGCGTCTGTGGAAGCCCCTCTCAAACAAGGCATTATCACTCTTTAAAGCACAGCCTTAGGGGTTCGAGGGAAGATCCCCAACATGAAAAAGAAATAGGTTGAATTATCCCATAGCCACATTATTGTTAAGGGCCATGTCTTACTTTAATCATCATTATGACAGTAATAACAAAAGACCAGAAATGGTCCTTGCCACAACTCATAAAACTGAAAACTGCCAACCAAATATTGGAATTTCAGTTCCTCCCCTCTTCCATCCAAATCCCTGTCTTGTGCCGAGATTACCATGGCTGTTTTTCAAAATGAGGGTTTTGATATTACCAATTCCCTGAAGGGCAAAAAGTAAACCCCCCAGGCTGGGAGTCAACCACTAATAAATGTGGTCTGGCTACTTGGTGAGGGTAAGTTTGGGCCAGGCAATTTTGACCTAAAGCTGGCAAAGTGCAGTGCCTATAAATGTGATGACTTTATGGTTCCTGCTTAAATAGTCTAAAATCCTGTCCTCCAAAAACCAGTTCCCCACATGAATGTCATAATATAACGCCCATGAAAACAGAAGAAAAAAACAGACATGTCAGCCCCTAGACAAATTCTACAACTTCCCCCATTAGGACCATCTGGATGTATTTCCTGTCCTTTCCTCATCATCCCACAAATTCAACAGCAGATCCTCTTGTTCTAGACTTCAGAAAATCCTTTTTATTATATACCATAAATATCATCCCCAACCCCAAAATGATGAGCAAATTATAATGTGTTCATTATAATTACATTCCTTTCATTCATAACTAAGGAATCTATATTGAAGATCACATATGATTCTCTTCCATGTTTCCCCATGCCCCCACCCAATTTTCTCCTAGGCCTTACTAAGCTGTATTTCAATCACAATAAGTCCCAAGTAATCAATCAGCAGGAGTATAGGGCCCTGGGAGTGACATGAGTTTAAAATAACCATTAAGAATTATGAATGCAATAACAGTTTCATAACTAGACAATGTATTTGCTACTGCTTACTGATTCAGATGAAAAATCTGGGAAAGAGAAGGGGTATAGAATGGGTTGCTATTTACAGTGACTCTTGCCAGAGTTCAGAGGGTATTTCAGATGCTCTGTCCTGCATCTGGCAGCAGAGGTGACCCCTGCACTGGCTTGGAGACTGAACTTGAGTACTCTTTACAGCACAGGGACCCTTACACACCTCCAGTGGCCTCTCTACCATTGCTGGCTCCCTCTAAGTAAAAAGACCTTTGAACTTCTCTCTCCACCAGTCGCTTGACATCCACTCATAAGGGCACAACAATTGCAACGATTTCCAGTTAATCATGAAATGTGTAAAATGTCAGCCTTCAGCCGACAGTTAAGCTCAGCCACTTCGTGAAATGGCTACACGTCTTGCTTACCTTCCACCAGGGAGGTGAGTAACGTGACATTTGCTGCTTTGCGCCTGCCCGCGGGTAAATTCAAACCGATTTTTTCTAGCCTTTCCCGCAAAGATCTCCCCCCATTTTTCGATTTGGCTCTGAAATTGCAAGAATTAACATTCTGATTAACCTCGGAGTGTTCCTGAAACAAAGTTTAGACTTAGCAATCTAAAGCCCAGTGGAGCTTGAAGAGGTTTTAACTTGAGGTTAGCACATTTCCCCCTTTCCTTTTGGTTATTTGCTGATAGTTTGCTGAGGTTTGCTTGATTTCTGCAATACAGGGCATAAAAAAATTGAGCATTTTCTTTTTTTATCTCATGAGTTAAAAAATGATAGCAGATGGGAATAATTAGGGTGTAGGTTGTGGATCTAGAGAAGGTAGATGTTGCACACACACAAGCTCTTTCCTTGTCACTGAACCAGTTAGGTGAGCAGAAACTGGGAGAGCACAACCATGCAGAAAAGAGGAAAGAATGGGTGGTTCAGCGAGAAGGCACTAGCTGAGGTGGGCTTTGCAAGGAAGGGTCCAGAGTTGCTCTAAGCCCATCCAGGTGTGGCTCAGTGGTTGAGCATCAACCCAGGAACCAAGAGGACAAGGGTTCGATTCCCAGTCAGGGCTCCATTCCCAGTGTGGGGCATGCTGGAGGCAGCCAATCAATGATTCTCTCTCATCAGTGATGTTTCTATCTCTCCCTCTCCCTTCGTCTCTGAAATCAATCAATCAATCACACACACACAAATATTAAAAAGAGTTGCTATAAAATGGAGTTGGGTTAAAAGGGGAAGGAAGATTGAAACATGAAACTAATGGTGATGCTAATCATAACAACAGTAAAACTAACACTGTAGGGAGTTTCGTTATGTAACAAACACTTTATATTATCTCACTTAATCTCATAGAAAGTTTTATACACACACTTAAGGCCTGGGGGTGATTGAAAGAAACTTCCACACTCTGGGGCTCAAAGGACTCACTTGAAAACTGAACCGTAGAGCACAGCTAGAGGACTCAGAGTGAGAAAAGCCTGCAGGTCACCCCCTTCCTTCCTCCCAGGGCTCTCCCTCTGCGAGCTAAAGTATGCGCAGAAATACAAGAAGAGAACCAGTTACTCTGACCTCTCTTGCTATCCACACAGCCACTTTTAGGAAAGAAAGGGACCACCAACCCCTGAAATGGGCTAACCGGGACAGTTCACCTCATAGGATGTCACCTTCATGCCAGCGCCATTACCAAGTGGTTTGGGCATTGGCAGGGACTTCGGGGGAGGCTTTGGATCTTAAGTTAAAAACCACCTCCATTTCCCACTAGAAGCCTATGGATTTTCTTCCTCCAATCCTAGGGATTATCTTAATGGCCCCAAGGAATAACTATTGTTTCTTCTAACACGGGATCATGGCTATTATTGGTGGTAATATTACTGAGGAAAGAAGGTCATGGGTCTAGAACAAAGTTTTTCTCCACACTGTGGAGCACAGTGCATTATCGGGCTGTGACCAACTTAGAATGCCAACTGCATTTTAATCAAAATAGAGAGATTGATCAGAGTACCTTGCTCTCTGTGAAATGTCTGTGTTAGATAAATATGTGTGAGCGGGACTCGGGCCAGGGCTGGGAAAGTGGAAGGTTCCCCCCGGGGCGAGGCCTGCAGAGCGGACCTGCAGAACGCGGACCTGCAGTGTGAGGGTCTGGGTCCGAAGGAGGCCACTGCGCCCCGGGCCCAGCACGTGCGGCTGCAGCTCCCCGCTCGCTCGCTCCCCAAGCGGGACGCCCGGTTGCTAGGCAACCGCGTCCGCTTCACAGCGGTTCTGGCGGAGCCCGCTTCCCCTCGCCCCATAAAAACCAGCTTGGGGGTGGGGGTGGGGGCGCGTTTTACCTTCTGAGGACGCCGCCGAGGAGAGACGCGTTGAGGCATTCCGGGGGCGAGAGCCGTCTCTGGACCTCCCCCACGGTGACTTTGTACTTGGAAGTGGAACTGAGCAGAGACAAGCGGCCGGGGACCGAGCAAAACACCTCGCCCGTGTTGACGGACATGCCTCCCAGGAAGCCATCTTTATTCATCATCAGAGAAGTCACAGATTTGGGAGGAACCGGAACTAGAGAGAGAGGGGGGAAAAAAATATATGCCATAAAGGTGACCGGGTTTCGATCCTGCTGACCGGCTGGTAGAATGTGTCCGTGCGTGCGCGCGGGGCCGGCCACAGGCCGCGCGCTCGGTGGAAAAGCTGGAGGAGGAAGTGTTGGCTGCACTGCGGTGCGTGCAGAGCACTGTGTCCCGGCAAATGGAAAGGCCGTCAACGCTCTGGAAATTTACCCCGTGTGGGGAGACATAGGCGTGTCTCTGGCCAGGGCCCCCTGCGTTGCATACCTAAATAAAGACGCAACCCAGCCTTTGGATGGTGCTAGGGGACCGGGCAAATCCTATTCCATCACATGCTGGCCTTGTGACCATAAGACATATCACTGAACCTCTCTGACTCTTGCCTGGTTTCTTCATCTGTCTCCGGAAGGTGACTGTCACCATGCATGGCATAAAATAGTAATGCCCATGGTCTTCATGGGAGCCCCTCCCCCCTCCTCTCCCGCTGGACCCAAACCCTGGCCATCCCTGGAGAGGATCAGGAGGGTGGGCCCATATCAGGTGCTGTAGTCCATACCCGCCACATTAAGCTGGGGAGCTGGGCCCCCAAGCATTGCTCGTTTCTCCAAAAGGAATCCCATTCTTTCCCACATCGTACCAGCAGACTCATTTAGAAATGAACCCAAACGCAATCCCGCAGTGACATGGATTTTGTTTACAAATTAACACAAAGCACTGGCTGTGATTGTTTGGAGCAGTTATGATTTACAACAGGTGCCCTGATCAATCAACCAATCACTCTAATTCATGTGAGCTGAGGTCTTGCCTTGCCCCAGTTGTTTCATTTCGGCAAGTAATTGATAACAAACCGCACTCAAGGTATGTTTTATGCAGAAGTTAATAAGAGCTGACAGCTGGTTGCCACTGCCACCCAGGCGCACTCGGTGTCTCCAGCCTGTATTTCTGTTTAATTGTCTCAGTGTCATCTGCACCTGGGGCAGAGGCGGGGCTCAGAACCAGAAGGCTGGGAATGAGGCACAGTGAACGGTCAGCCACCTAGTTCCCTGGCACTCTTGCTCCCTCGGACTTCTGCACTGCCAAAACCCATTTGCTTTCTGCGAACTCTAGAAGCCACCGTGCAGGCGACTATTTCTCCAGACTTGCCCTACACCTTAGTTTCTTCCATTGGGGAAGGAGGCTCCAAATACTCAAGCAGTATTTGTTGATCATCAGTCCAGGGAATTTCTTGAAAAGGGAGGCTTCCATTCCGCCTCTTTAATAAAGACCCTGTCTCTCCCTATAATCCTAGTCGTAGAAAGATATGCTCTTTCTGCCATCTGGAGCCTAGAACTCTGTATGTCAAACAAGCTGTATCATTTCCCTTGTACAGAACAGACTCACCAATACAAGATTGTTGTAACAGCTTGGTCTCTGTGCCACAGATTCCAGCATTCAGGCCTTCATGATGGTTTTAGAGCCTCCTAAAAGCCAGTGAGGTCCCAAATCTGTTCTTTACTATGCATTGTGTTCAGCCCTTTATAAAGACTTTGTGGAAGGGGCTTTCCTAGGGCAGTGGGTGTAGGGACTGAAGCATTTCCCTTCTGCGACTGCTTAGCATGTATTTTGGGATCTCTGGCTCTGTGAACAGAGTCCAGGATCTTCTCCCAGGGCAGATCAATGATGTCAGCTAGCAGAGTGGATCTTGTGCACTGACCTGGTGGAGGTGGTGACTTACAGAGGGGCTTGCTTCTTTCTCATTCCCCTCATCATAGTCTCATCAGTGATGTTGCTTCCCACTTAAGAGTGAACCAGTAAAAAGTTGAAGTGTGAATATTAATTAAGTTTGAGTTAAATTCATTTAATAGACAGTGATTGGGATGGAAACACCTATCATTTGATTCTCTTATACAGCATCCACATCTGTTTCAATCAATCTTATTCCTCACAGCAGTTCTGATTTCCATATGTCAGATTCATATTCAAGCATTATAAACAAATAATGTATGATCATGAAAACTGACATTAGATAACCTTGGGAAACTTTCCCCCAAAATGTAGATTGCCCTTTGTATTTTGACATGGCATGAACTGTAGACATAAACTGTAGAAAAATCTCACACTTGATACTCAGCAACATTTTCATATTTAAATACTACTTAGAACATTTTAACAGAAGAAAACCCACTAATCTAAAAATAGTAAGTTCAGTTCCTAGTTCCTGGATAACTGAATGTCTCCTGAGGATTGGAATTGTACCTGCTTCTCACAGTCCCAGATGTCAGATCTCTTAAAGAGCCAGGCCTTTAGAGACACTTTATAACTTGCCCTCTAATTTCACTATTGCTAATTGCCTGATTTACCTGACAAGAGCTATTTCCTTTGGGGAATGTGTATTGCTCCCTCCCCTGTACCTTCCTTTCCACATATACATTATCACCTAAATATCACCAATCTGGTCAGCTTCTGTCAACACACTACTGTCTGGGGAGAAGGGAAAGGAGTTTTTTGTTTGTTTTTATCCATAAACAGCTATTAAACAGACATGCATCAAATATTTCCGTTTTTAAGTGTAATTGTCTATCATATGCCTATCCTGTATTTTCTCAACCTCAGGTTATAAAGTTCTTTTTCACCCGGACCTTAGCATTGGTGACCTAGACTAGAGCCTACACATTTCTAGTCCAACTTTCCTTTAAATCCATAGCAGTATTATCTCTACCTTCACCTCCACCGTACACCTGCTTAGCTCAGCTGATTACCCCCATATTTTACTCTTGGTCTTTTTTCCTTCTGCTTTTCTCCAGTTTATCAATAAACTCAGAGAGCAACAGGGCCCGGTTGATTTGTTAGTAATTATGAGTACACTGTTCCTGCGCACGGAACCCAGAGATGACTAAGATAGGTTTCAAGCGACAGCAGGAAATGGTAAGGAAATGGAGCATAGCAAAACTCAGCACGAAGCTCTCAGTTCTTTACATGTTTACAGTTTTCTGTGCATACATTAAAACTGTTTTTTGTGGTGTGTGTGTTTTCTCTCTTCAGTTCTCAGTTGGATAGCATGGCCAACTTCTGGATGCAACACCCTCAAAATTTGCTCACCTCCTCCCTTTTCCCTTGCATTATTTTGGGGGGAAGGAAAAGGTTTAAAAACAGAATAATATCTCATTACTGTGACTGGAGTTTTATTTAAGAAAGAGGAAGAAAAATGATTAGAGGGAATATTATTTATTAGTGGAATATATAGAGCCAAAGTGTTAATAGGCTAGCTCTTAATCTTTATTCTTTAAACTTAAGTGTGAAATTGTAGCTTTGAGATCTTTGAGTTTGACTGGAAACAGACCCCCTTAATCTTACCTGCTGGTGGGGGAGGAGGGGAAAAATAGACTCAAGGGCTAAATCCTTCTGAAGGATACATAGATTTAAATATGCAAACTATACCAGGAAGCCTCCAAGAGGTTGAGCATTGTTTGAAATAATTACTTCTCACCAGCAGAGCATCCCTTTCCTTACACTTGCATTGTTTCTCATCCACCAGACGGCTAAATTTTATTCCAAATGCATATGTAACAACTGTACAAAATGAGTACTGAAATCCTGGAAAGAAAAATAAAAGGATTCCCACCAAGAGAGATGGAACATAAGAAAAGCGACAGACATTCAGTGCTGGCATCCTTTAGGGACAAAGCCTAAAGAGGCTGGAAACTAAGTTGGGTTCCATCGCTTACTTAACACATGGGAACTTGAGAAAGTAATTTACCCACTCTCTGAGTTCCCACACTGGTGTGGAAGGAGGGTGTCTAACCTTCCCAGCTTTGAAATTCTATGCACTCTGATTACTCCCTGGGTGGCTGGAGTGCATCTCAGAGTTCCTACTTGAACCAGTAGGGCCCCACCTCAGCTCTGGGAAGGCATACCTCTTCGTTGGAGAGGAAACTCATACCTCCTCAGACTCTCAGTACTTTTACCTTTTAAGTCAGAAGGAAGAATCCCAGCAGAACCTACTGTAATTGAAATTGGCAAATTCTTTATTCTCCCCCACCCGAAAGAAAACCCACACCAATCGAAGTGTTTGTGTGGGGAAGGGGCCAGAACTAACGGGGAAAGGGAGAGAATGGAGGTTACACTGGAACTAACCAAACAGGATATCCCTAAGACCGATGAAAATGCCCTACAGTCACATTTGGACCTTGGACTCCAGCCACACTAGCCTTTCCAAGAAATCCCAGCATTTTCCCCCCTGATGCTTAAGGTGTGAAACCAATTGCATATTGGCCTCTGATTGCACCACAAACTTTTTTTTTTTAATCTAGGTGAGACTTTAAAAAAAAAATTAGTCTGTAGGATGTTGGCAGTGATCATGGTATAAACTGGGGCACCCCCACTCCCAACCAGCCCATATTCCCAATCCTAATGGAACTGAGAGTTAAGAATGATTTTTTAATGTCTCGTTGGATTTTTAGACTGTTAATGTACCGAATCCTTCTCATTATTACTTTATTGATTGCTCATTGACCAGCCCCCTTCAAATCGTATTAACCACCCTCTGCCGGTTTAGATTAGGAGAGTTTAGAAAGCACCTTTCATTATTCCCACCTCCCACCCCCCACGCCTGCCATGGAGTTGAGACTCAGACTTGGCTGCTTAATGGGAGCTCTAATGGGGCAGCTAAGAGGAGAGGGGCCACGGTCCCTGCCGATTGCATTAATAGCTCAAAGGGGGCCAATACAGAAAATTAGCCGTAAACGAGCTCTGGAGAGCCTCAAATGAAAGAGCCATTTATCACGCTGGCTACCTTCACTCCACTCGTTTGCTCTCTCTACTGGGAACAACTCATTTCCTCTTAACTAAATTACTTCAGAAATGTCAGCTAAGCCCAGATAGCAAACATAACGAGAGAGCTAGCCTGTAATCTATGGGGTGATATCAACAGGGCTGAAAAATTGGAGTGGTCAAATTTTAGAAGTGGGGTGTCATCCCATAATGAGAGAGAGAGAGAGAGAGAGAGAGAGAGAGAGAGAGAGAGAGAGAGAGAGAGAGAGAGATGAGAGGGGGAAGGAGGAAAGGAAGGGAGAGAGAAATTTTTTATACCTAAATTTCCTGGCTTCATAAACACAGGCAGAAACCCCAAACCTGGGCCGGTTAAGGCAATTTTATTAACAAGGTAGAATTTTTAAAAATCTCTTTAAAAGCCCATTAGAAAATAAATTAAGCAACGGAGTCCCCTGCCAGTTGTTGAAATTTAGACTATTTTGTTCATGAAACTTTCTTACCTCCTCTTTTGGAGACATCCCTCAAAAGGTGGGGGGAGGGACAAAGATGGAGACCAAGAGCAGAAGGAGCTAATGAACTCATCACCTTATTTTAGTGGTACACAGTAATTTACAAAAGCCACTCAAACACTTACTCCTATTCCACCCATAACTCTCTAAAACCAAAATTATGATCTTGGGATCTTTTCTTCATGTAATAATAAAGCAAATACATAAAATATTAAATAATGGAGTTAACCTAACACTTCATATTCATTCCACACCCCCTAAATCAATAAAGTGACAAGGGTGCCACTTAGATGTTTTAAGCTGCACATTATTTAAAAAACAAAACAAAACAAAACATTAAAAAAAAAAAACCTTTTAGGGCCATAACAAGTACTGTATGTTTCTAAAACAAAACCAGTAACTTTAGTCAATATCCTCCTTTTCTTATTCCTGAAGATATACCTTCACACATAAATATTCACATTCTGATGGCAAACACATACAAGCCCTGAAAGGAAAGCCTCACACATCTGAGAATAAGTTCACCTCCCTTTGGTTAGGCAAGCTCTATTCCAATTATGTTTATTGGCCTGGCTATTAATAACATTTCTGATTGGTCATCGGTTGGCATGCCCCACTGCCAGCCCAAATGCTGCTTCTAGGAGCTGGAGCTCTGAGCTAAGGAGTTCTGGCTTTCCATGAAAATAAACGGGAACTAAAACAAAAAGGAAACAAAAGCAGCCAATGAAGAATTAGCCTCCCTCCCCTTATTCCCCCATTAACCAGCAATTAACCAAAAGAGAAGACCCAAGAGGAAATGGTGAAAGTGAGCTGTCAGCACAGTTGCAAATCTAAGCAACCAGACACTAGAGCACACCCAAAAGCTGACATTAAAAACTGAAGAAATGATACTATCTAAAGAAGAAAGGGAGAGATATTTAAAGCAACACTTAAGTACTTTTGCCCCAAATCTTATTATTCACCGGTCATTCCAAAGCCAAATGGCATCACTTTAAGTACAGCTTCCACCTCCCAGCTCCCACCTCTCAGAGCTACTTTCTCTGCCTTTTGTAAAAGAAGAAAATGTAGAATGCCTCACCCTCCTCAGAATCCTCACTTCACAACCCTCCTACTATATCAACTTGACTCTGGATTATTTTCCAAAACATCTTCCATTGTTTTTGTGCAGGTCATATGGCTCCCATGAATCATACATGACCGAGGCTGGGGCTTGTTGACACCAAACAAGGACAGGCCTTCTCCAGCATCGATAAGAAAGGGTTACTATAGTTAAAAAATTGTATCTCCAAACACTGGTTCTTGTGATCATTAAAGATCGTTCTGTTTACACATTCAAGCTCCTAATTGTGTGGCATGTGAGTGACACTCGGGCCCTGGGACAGCCACACTAATCGCCACGCATTCTCTCAGTGACAGAGAAGGGGGGAGAATTAAGCAGCTGCAATATGCCCGAAATGAGTTATTGTAATTACATTTAATTAGTTTAATTAGTTAATTATTTTGCTTACAGCTGTACAAGAGACTGCAAACATTTGTTAATATCGCATGCCCTTTAACAGTATGGGGTGATTCCACAGTTACACTAAATCAAGAACGCATATGTAGGAAGACTTAGAATGTGCATAGGCTGGCTCAGCTTCTCAGGATGCGCATGTTTAGCGACACATTTGGCACAATTAAACAAAATAAGGAACAACTCGTAAAACACAGAGTACTGGGAACAAAAATGCCACCGAAAAATCAAACACAAAAACACGGAGGAAGGGAACTGTCTCAATGACCGAGGGTTGAGTCCAGCAAATTCTAGTTATCAATGAAAAAATTCTGGTGCATTTTTTAAAGCAGTGTTTCCCACCTAGTTCCATACATGATGGTAGCTCAATTATTGGAGATAGTATCTAGACTTGCTATCAAATGTACCAGGAGAAAAAATGGCCATAGTCTCTGTCCCTCTCTCTCTCTCTCATCCAGGTTTCTGCCTGCAGTTTTGTTTTTCCCTCCTTCCTCCCCATTTCCTTCTTCCCTACATGCCCTTTCAACCCAGACAGTCTCTGTTCCATAACTGTGAACAAACATTTGTGTCTTATAAAATAATGAATTGCCCCAAAGTGAAAACTCATCACGAAGACATCAATGCACAGGAGAAGTTTGTTTACTTTTGGGGGGAAATAATCCATACCTTTTTTTATGACAGACTGGTCCAATAGATTCATGCCGCTGTTATTGGCATCTTCAACTGACTGTGGATATAAAAACATCACTATTCAAATTGACTGGATATTAAAGAATCGCACACATAAATCATGTCATTCCAAACTGGAGTGTCTGTTATTTCCATTTATATTAATTCACAAAGGGAGGTTTTATTATTATCATTATTATCTCTGAATCGGCATAGAGATGAAATTCACCCAAATTATACATTCTCCCAATGAAAGAAGAGGAAAAAGGAAACTGTGAGCGTCACCTGGGATGTGGTATTGGTTCAGTGATTATATACAACATAGATATTACACAGACATATAAACTTTTATATTATTTGCTCTTATGAATTGTGAGGATTTGGCAACAGCTGAAAGATTTCCACCCATATTAGTAAGAGCAATTTCGGTTTTCTGTTCTATCCCTGCGCATCTTAACTCCAGAATCATCTCACAAATACATAACAGTTTACATTATGGGATTTTAATTAAAGTCTGAGCCATTTGGAATGGAATGCAAACAGCAACACATAGGAACATGTTTGCGAGCCACCAGGACCGCACACCCACTGCGGTCCATTCACAGCCGCTGTGAACTTCCTGCCGTACAACAGTCCCCAGGAGGAACCTGCACCGTTTGCTCCCCTCGTAACCCCGCTTCCCAGCAAGAGGCACACCTGTTAGGAAGGCAGCCACCACAGATACACAGACACACACAAGGGCCCGGATGCTCCCAGTCAGCACCTGGGGATTGGCAAGAGCCTTCATCTTCCGTGCCATGGTTTCATCCCTCTGAAGGCAAGTTTCCACCCTGGGTGTTGGCAGCACTTCTGAAGGGAAAGAGCTGTTGGAATGGGTTTCTTGCTGTCTGGCTGTGCATCCCTGGGCCTCCAAAAGCAGTGGGTTCCCTTGCCTGCCCACACAATTAAAATAAATGCTAGGTCCCTCTGAGATGGACACCTGCTTTCCTCTGATCCACAGAAACCCACGTTTGGACCCATTCGTCAATCACCCAAAGCAAAGGGACCCGGGAAGCGAGGTGGTGTTTTGACTGCACCTCCCACCCCCCCTCGTGCTGCATCCCCAGACAAGGTGTATGTTCCTCACGGGTGTGTGTGTGTGTGTGTGTGTGTGTGTGTGTGTGTGTGAGAGACTGCCTCCCCCAAACCAGGGGCGTGTCAGAGGCCAGAGATGAGAAGATCTAAGCACGGAAGGGGCAGATTATACTTTGTTTCTTTGGGTGTTTAATAGTCCGCCACTCCTCCGCTCTCAGAAAGGTGGGGGGAAATTGTTATTCTCAGTTAAGAACCGTTTTTTTTCCAAGTTGCAACATGCACATCTGAAGAAATAGCAAAAATCCTTCTTAAAAAAACAACGACTTCATGGAACTTGTTGGAGACTCCTCAGGAGACCCCACCACGCACACGCACGCATGCATACACACAGGATCCACGGCTCCCTGTGCCCACGTGTCTACAACGGAGACGCGTCCACGAGGGACACGAGCGTTCCTCTGTCCGTGGGCGCGATCTCCCGCGCCCCCACACCTCACTCCCGTCGGTGCGTCAATATGTATATACGCCTCATCAGCGACGCGGGGTAGTTGTGGTAGTTAATGAGAAGGCTCTTGTCTGATTTTCTATCTAATTACGGCCGCCTGCTGGGTTTTTGTACAGGATATTCACGCAGCATGCTGGCGCTTAATCGTCACGGGGAGGATCGTAAAGATTTAATTAGGACTGCATGCGGAAGCGCAGAAAAACAACTCAGACTCGTAATTACTAGACTTCTTTAGTTAAAAGTGATACCAGGGGTTGCTTTAAGACACGGGGGTGTGTGTTGGAGTATGTGTGTGTGTGTGTGTGTGTGTGCGCCTGTGTGTGGGGGCTGCGCGTGCCCGCGCGTTGGGAGGTTTGCCTGCACATCCTCCTATGTTTACACTCATGGGTGGCAGAGGTGATGAGAGGTGAGAGAGCAACTGATTGGAAGGAGAAAAAAGGTTTTCCTGGGAACTAAACAAACTCCAAACGAGGTGTCATCTCAGCCCCTCTTTCTTTCTGATGCTCTTGGTTCTAAGTTTTTTTTTTTTAAAACACTGCCCCTACCACCACCAACACACACACACACACACACACACACACACACAGTGGGTGAAATGTAGCATACCCAGAACCCAAGCAGCGATTTGCTAGTTTAATAGCCCCTGTGAGTAAATTGAAATAGAAATTGACAGGGTTTTATAGTTTCATTTAAAAAAATATTAGAAGCATTTGGTTAATTAGCTCTCCTCTCATGGCTGGGGCGGTGGCCATGAGTGTGAGTGTGAGTGTGTGTGTGTGTGCATGTCTGTGTGTGTGTGTGTGTGTGTGTGTGTGTGTGTGTGAGACATAACAGCCCCTACGCCCTTGGCCAGATGAGGAGCCGTGGTTGTGAAGTCCACTGGCAGGCAGTCCTCTCGGGGACTGTCTGGTGGGCGGGTGGGGTGGGGTGTAGGGGATCCAGAACACCCACTAGGCCCTTGAGACTGAACCAATGATTACAGCCCAGGCCTGAAGAACCCTGTGCAGCAAGCCTATTCTGGCTGCAGGGAACTTTGAAACCCGGACAGGTTCCTTCCTGTAACTTTGGATCCCCCAAGCTCCAGATCCTGAAGCTAGAAATGGAAGCTCTGAATTTGGGGGTCTGGTCCTGCACATCTCCTCTCCCCCATCTTTGTCATCTACCCCGAGTCAAGACAAGCACACCTCACGACGAGATGGGCCATCTGGGAAAAGTGCCAGTGTATCCTTCGCCACCCTTAGCACCGGGGTCATCCACACAGAGTCCCAAGAGCCTGCCCACTTCCCCAGACTCCTAGCTGGGATGCTTCTGGGGAAGGAGCTGGGCAGAGGTGGGGTGGGGGGGAACCTGTAAGGCTGGGCTGGCACCTTCTCCCCTCTGAGCTACCTCCCCTCTGTGGTCTGTGTTCCCATCCACAGCAGCTGGGCCCACCAGCCACGCTGGGACAGGGGTGTCCCCCCAAATGCACAGACAGGGCCCCGTTTTTTCTCTCGTCCTTCGCATTTGGCCAGACACTCAAAACTCCTTTAAAATCTGAAACCAAATAAATCCGGTCCCTCTTTGGGGGGAATTCCTCTGTTGGGTAACCTGAGTCACTGGGCCAGCAGGGTTGGGGGGCGGTAGGAGGTGACAACCAGTGTCAGCACTGCCAACAGCAATGGTGATGAGCTGATCCACTTTCATTATCTAGCACTCTGAACCGTACTCCGAAAGGTTAATTTAAAAACTCCCTCCCAGACACATATCACCCCAGTGCATTAAAAAAAAACACCCCACAACTATTAAATATTTCTCATCTCATATGATATTCTGAAATGAGCATGATCTCCAGACAGGGACAGTCAAGCTCTATTAAATCATCAAAACGATCATTCTTATTACGGTAGGAAAACTCAGCCACAAATCAGGTGAGACCGTCCTTTTTTGGAAAACAATACATAACTGGATTTCCTTTAAAACAGTAAACCATCACAGACTACCCACAGACCGCATCGGATGCTGCCACCGCATTTTAACTGTCCAGCACACATTTTTTTCTTCATCAAAATAGAGGAAAGACTTGTGCACCCTTGTCCCTTCCCCATTTCGTTTTTCACTGCCTCAGAGGTATGCCTACTATAACGCAGAAAGTACACAACTATGCCAATGAGACCAGAGTGTCAATGAAATACCTCTCAACCAAATTTATCTTTTCTGGAGACTATTTAAACTCAAGAGCCAAAGGAGACCTGCTTAGAATCACCCAGACAGGTTTTTTAAAAAAGCATTTCTTTGATGCTTTCTTTGTTTAGTTTAATCAAGTATTCTCAATCAAATCAGGCTCCATTGTGTAGGTCGCAGATGGGATAGTGTGAGGGTAGGGGGAGTGTTTTGAGCCTTTTGTTTTAAGAAATAAACACGTGATGCCTTTCCATTGAGATGGTAACATTTAAGAGGAAAAAGTATTCACGGAGGGGGAGGTTTGAAGAGGGAGCGGAGAATATTGCTCCTCAGTTATTTAATGAACAGAAAGGTGAGCAGAATCTCTCACATTGTAGCCGTCCTCACGGACTCTCAGACAGAAATGTGGCTTTCTGGGTCTCTCCCCACAAAGACCCCATTTCTTGGGTGATGATTCTGGAATTCAAACATCTTGGCAAAAGGGACCTGCAGGTTATGTATGGGACATTGGAAGGAATACCTGGCTTGGATCAATGCAGCCCATGTTTTTCTTCCAACGTGCACTGTACCGCTTAATAGTCTTTGCAAATCCAGCAGAACCTCTGAGCTTACAGAGGACCTGTGTCCCCACGCAGGAGCCCCAGCCCCTCGGCAGCTGGGTCTTCACCTACCAAGCCATGAGGCCAGGCCCACTACAGGGCGTGCGGTGGGGAGGGTCCCCAGGTTGTTCCCTCAACATCCAAGAGAACAGGAAGGGGCAAGACAAGAACATCTAAGCCTTGGTGCTGAGGATGCTCAACCATCCAGCTACACACACCTCCTTCCCTCCTTCACGATTTCATTCCTAGCGGTTCCACTCGCATACTCAGACCTCCACTAGAGAACCACAGACGTCCCTACAGACACAAACAAATCCCATACGCTGTGTCCAGCGGTCCCCTGTCCTAAAGATGCAAACTACCACCCCTCCCCCCAGGAGACAGCCGCCCCACCCCCGCCGCTCCCCTCTCCCGGAGGGGCCTTCGCGATTTATTTCCAGTCCCTCTTGTTCGCTCGGTGGGTGGTTTACCTGGACGTCTTCCATCCCAGGGTGGCCGAGGCCATGCAGCGAGAGGCTGTCGCCCATGCCCGCGTCCAGGCCGTGGTGCGCCGAGTGCAGCAGCACGTCGGGCCGGCGGACCGAGTGGTAGTCCCTCCGGGGGTCGAGGCCCGAGAGCTGGGGCAGGGCGGCCCGGGGCTGGGGCAGGAGGGAGCCGGCTTCCGAGCCCACGTCCTGGCGCTGCCGCTGGCCCCAGGGGTGCTGCTGGGGCTGGTGCAGGGGGTTCAGGGAGTAGGGGTCGTTGACGTGGGAGTAGGGGTCCTGGCTCTGGTGGTAGGGGAGCGGCTGGTAGGGGGGCGGGAAGTAGGGCGGCTGGAAGTCGGACGACGGAGTGTGGGACAGCGGCGGGGCGCTCGAGTACGGTCCTTGGGACACCGAGCCCAGCTGGGAGAGCCGGGAGCTGTGGCTCGGGACGCCATCGTGCCGGTCCTGGGAGCCGAGAGAGAGAGAGAGAGAGAGAGAGAGAGAGAGAGAGAGAGAGAGAGAGAGAGAGAGAGAGAGGAAAGACAAGGGGAAGAAGGAGAAGAAGAAGAAAAAAAATACAAGCGACACATGGAGAACCGGCTTCGGTGCGTTCTCCCCGGGACCAGGGGAAGCAGGAGTCTGAAACTGACACTGCCAAGTGGGCTCAGAGGGCAAGTGATTTTTCAGCAATCCCAAATGCAAGGCTTTATTTTTTTTGGGGGGGGGGAAGAAATGGGAAGAATCACCCACACAACCGACCCGACATCGGAGCCCTCGGTGGGGAGTGCAAAGCCAGCAAAAAAGGGCGAGGGGGAAATCGCTGTGCATGGAGGAGGGAGTTTCTACATGCCTTCCTTAAAAACACCCTGCTTACACACGGCCTGTGCTCTGCTGGGTGTTGGGGGCAGTGGTTTCTAACTCTGCCAGGGCTCCAGAGCATAGCAGATGAGACTGTCAGCTGCGCTGCCCCTCCAGTTCAAAACCAACTTCTGCCTTCCCCGCCAACCCAGGGGGCTGCCCGGGAGCTCCCCGCCCGGCCTGGCAATTCCAGGAGCTGCAGGGATCTGTGTGATTTGGGTTCCCAGTCCCCCTACCACCACACCCCCCAACAACCCCCCCCCCCCCCGCAAGAGGAATGAATTTAAATAGTGTCTGATTGAAATGGATCTCATTAGGAAACCTACCCTAAGCCCCTGTGAAGTGGAGCTGTGGTTTGAAGGAGTTATTTCAAAGGTTGCTTTTCTCTATCTAATGCTGTGATAGACTCCAGGGTGTGAAAATGAAGGACTTGAGGTTGGAAGGAGGGGAAATAAAAAAAAGCCCAGACAACTCCCTGTTGGTCCTATCTGGAGTGGTTCACTAAGTAAGAAAAAAAGAAAGAAAGAAAGAAAGAAAAAGAGGAGGTCTGTGTGTGAGAGAAGGGGGTTTAAGTTTCTCCCTCTCCTCTGTGGAAATGCCATGGGAAAGTCCCCGTGTTTCTTTTTGGAGAAACGGTCACCTAAATTTCCAAACTGCAAATGGCAAGTGAAAAGTTTTCTCTTTGGTCTCCCCCCCTCCCTCCCCAGCTGACTCCAAGAGCTCAGACGGAGAAACACACAATGCAGAGAGAAGCAGCTGCAGCCTCGTCCAATTATGGTGCTAAATTACCAAGCCAAAGGCGCTCCGAGGAAGACAGAGACAGAGAGAGTGAGACACGCACACAGAGACCGAGAGAGAGATGGGGAGAGAGAGACAGCGAGAGGGAGCATGCAGGCAGTTCTGGTACAACGTGAATCCAAACTCACCATGGATGAATAGGTGTGGACTAACATCTGGAAAAAAAAGCCTGGTTACTGCTCAAAATCAAACAATGATTAAAAAAAAATAATCAAGGAGTCCAGCGAAGAAACGAGCTGGACACAGAAGCTGAGCTTGAAGTGTTTCCAGGGCAAGCCATCCAAAAAAAAAAAAAAAAATCACCCCCCCCACCCCCAAACAAGATTGGCGCTGCCTGTCACCCACAGAGCTGTGCATGGGTCTCTTGCTGTCTTTGGGGCCTTTTTTTTTTTCTTTCCTTCTGCCTTTTTTTTTTTTTTTTTTTCTTTTTTTTTTTCCGGGCTCCAGAAGCAGTCCTCTTCCACCCGCAGCTGGGCTCAGACTGCTCCGGCGCCCCTTCCTCCCTCCGCTTGCCTACACCGCCTCATAATAATTGATATTCATGACTATTAATATTACACGAGTACTTTAAAGGGAGAATGGAGGACAAATGGAGCGTGAAGCAGCAGCCAGCGCAGAGCTCCCCTACTATTGTAAATGACGTTCATTCAGTGGAGAATTACTAGATGTAATCAGACGAGGGGGCTGGCAGAGGCGGCCGGTCGGAGGGGGGAAAAGTTTAGCAGGAAAGAGGCAGAACTTCAGTGAGAGGGGCTGGGGACAGCCGCCCGCTCAGCAGCCTCTGCATCCCCGGATGGGGCGGCGGGGGAGGGCATCGCAGGGGGCTTGTGTGGCATGGAGGCGTCCTTGTTCCTGGAGAGGGACTTGAGAACGGATCGCCCAAGGTGCTTTGTGTGCGTATTACAAAAAAAATATAATAATGTTAATAATAAGAAGGCGTTGGCTAGCGTTTGGAGGGGGAGAGAAGAGGAAGCCAGCCTCGGGCCCCGCTGTTTGCAGGGATGTGTGCGGACATCCGCCGAGCATGGGCGATGATGCTTATGTGTATTTGGAGGACAGAGGCGACAGGGGGGCTGGGGCAGCCGTCCCCCTCTTTAAGGCTCACACGTGAAGCCTGTGATTTTTACCTCCATTTAGAACACACACCATCAATCTTCGGGTGCACTAAACCTCTCCTTTCCAGGCAAAGCCAGGGGCAACAGAAAACCTTTTCGGATATTTCAGGAACCCGTTCGACTGGCTTGACTGCCATTTCTGTTAAAGTTCAACCTTCCTCCCGACTTAAGCGGGCTCCTTGCACCGGGCTGTGGGTTCTCCTGTATGTGTTTTCAGCACAGAATTTAGCAGCTGGGAATACCTGCAACATATTCTCTCCCTCTCTCTCTCTCTCTCTCTCTCTCTCTCTCTCTCTCTCTCTCTCTCTCTCTCTCTCTCTCTCTCTCTCTCTCTCTCTCTCTCTCTCTCTCTCTCTCTCCCCCTCTCTTCCCCTCCCCCTTTATTCTCATCCCCTCTTCCACGCCACCCTTCCTTTTCCTCTTTCTTTCTTCTCTCCCCCCCTCCTTTATCATTCAGCCAGTTTACTTTTCCCAATCAAATGCCCTGCTTACGTTTTCGTGCCCCCTGAAGCCCGCCTAGATACCCATCCGAGGGCTCCGTCCACAGGGCCCCACGGCCGCCCGTGCCAAGCCCATGCCCACTGGGGCCGTTCACCGGTTCTTTTGGACGCGGGTTCTACCGCCTTCCACTTTGCCCCCATCCCGCGCTAAAGAACAGGAGGCCGAACCGAAACAAGCGCCCCGAAGCGGAGGCCGGGCTCCCCGTTACAGTCCGCACCGAACCACAACGAGGAGAGGGAAGCCTCAAGCATCCTGCATCGTTTGCAGGAAGAGGTCTCTCTCTCTCTCTCTCTCCCCCCCCCCCCCAAAAAAAATTAGGATTCGGGGCTGGGCAGAGCTGGGGGCAATGGGGAGCTCTGCCTGCGGGCGGGCGGGCGAGCCCATCTGGCCCGCGGGGCCGGCGGCGGCCGTCGGAGCTCGGCCGCTCGGAGCGCCGGTGGCCGGCACCGCAGGCGGCTGGGGCCGGCGTTCCCCGGAGCTACCGGATTGAGCTCCCCCCAACAGGAGGTGGTGGTGGTGGCCGTGGTGGTGGCGGTGGTGGCGGTGGCGGTGCGGAGGGGGCGGGGGCTGGTGTCCTACCACGACTGCTACTCCCGGCCCCGCGCTCGCCGCCCGGCCGGTCCCCTCCTCCTCCCCTCCGCTCTCCCGCCGCGGCCCGCCGCGCCGACCTCCGTTCCCAGCCCGCTGTGCCCGGCGCCTCTCCCCGGGCTTTTCTCTCCCTCCTCCCCGACGTCTGCGGGAGAAGTCTTCGTCCCCCCCAACGCCCTTCCTCTAGCACCTCATTTGGGGTCTCCGAGGCCACCCCGTTCGGGAACCCGGCTCAGCGGGCTGCCGCCGGCCTTCCCTTCCCCTCCGGCCGCGGGCCCGCGCCCCGCCCGCCCGGCCCTGGAGCCGCCCCGCGTTCTCGGCTCCGAGACCGAGAGCGCGTCGCGGGCGCGGCCCCTCCGGTCCTTCGGTGCCCAGAGGACCGCGCACCGGGCAGCGGCAGCAAATTCCCTAAAAATGCCCAACCATGGGGCGCTCTGATCCCCGGAAAAACAAAACCCAAGAAAAGAGGGGGAAAAAAATAACCGATGACTCCTTGGCTTGTGCTCCACCGGCACCCATCTATCTATCTCCCTCTTTCTATTTCCCATCCTCTATTTGGACCCGTTTGTGGTCGATTAGAGAAAATTTATTGAAAAATTAAAAAAAAAATTAAAGCCTGAGTCCAAGGAGACTCGAAAACCTAACCCTCGCCCTCACTCCCAACCAGCAGCCTGTCTTCTCTGCCCACCTTCCCCATCCCAGGCTAAGGGGGGTGATCGGGAGGCAAGGAAGAGAGAAAGCAAAAGAAAAGAAAAAAAAAAAAAAAGAGAAATCTTCTAGTCTAGTCAGATTTCCACTTCTTTCTCAGAATTAGTGAAGTCTCTTCCCCAAGCCAGCCTTTCTAAAAGTTAGAGAAAGCTCAGAAAACCGACCGGAAATCTGCTAGGAAAAACAGCTTAAAAAAAAAAAAAGCAAACACAACAAACCACACAAATATATGAGTTGGGGTGTCCAGAAGCTCACATTCTCTATCTGCAAAACCCTCAGATGCATCCAGGGTGCCCGCTCACCTCATAGATATCTTCGTACTTGACATTCTCCACGAGCTTCCAGAGCATGATGGCAGCCTGGTCTCTAGGAGGTGAGTGCATTCATGTGAGGAGCAGATGTCTGGCTTCTCAGGGCTCCGCTGTCTGTAATGATCCATCTATAATTGGAAATGGGGGATACACACCAAACCCGACGCTCCTCTCCCATCGCAACTTATATCTGTTGTCTCAGACAATAGGCTGGACGGAGCCAGCCTCAGCAGAGGGAGAAAACATGATTACACACACACACACTCAGGAGTTAGATGCAACCCGCAGACATATATATATTATAAAAAAAGATCACAAACACGGATTGACACCCAGATACCCCACATTTCGTTATGTAAGCACCCCTTGGGTCACGCCTAGGTCTACAGACGCTGCCCCATGCATGGAAAGGAGGAAAAGAGCGTTGATGTGTGTGATTAATAGAAATATACACATTTTAAAAAGCCTCTCTCTGTGGAAAATGATGAATCATGGTGGCCACGAATGAAAAGACTTTAAAATTTCTAATGAGAAACCAGGGGGCCAACAGCCTTCCTCCACCCCATTTTTCTATCTAGATTTTAAAAGGGAGTGAGATTTTTAAACACAAAAGCTCCCATTCGGATGTGTTCCGCAGGAGGGTATATTTAAGGCTGGATTTTGGGATTTTAAGGGTGATCTCTCTGTGTGAATGGCTATATAACTTTTTTTTTTTTAAATAAAAACTGTGCCTCTGTCACCATAGAACAAAAAGCCAGCTCACCAGAGTGACCATGGCTAACGTTTTTTGGTCATTTTGATGGACACAGTGGATAACTTAGATACTATCTGAGCACCTGAGCCTGCACTGTTTGCTATTTTACCGCTTGTTTGTATGTATTTTCAACAGATCCTGTGTGCCATCTTTTTCTTGGCCGCAGTCTCCATTTTATGAAGTTTATTATTATTATTTTTTTCAGATGTGGGAAGCAACACAGGCACATGCACCCATTTACACCCCATGAGTGGATCTGGAGCCTCCTTTGCCGAAAGGAGACATAGTAACGTTTTAGATTCATGGCGGTTTGTCTATAACTAACTTTTAAGTGGTTTTCCTCACGGAGGATCAAAATATAGTCACCTAAGCCTTTGGAAGGATTGAGGAGAGTGTTCTTTTTAAAGGCAATCTGAAAAACACTTTGGGGTTTGTGGGTTTTTGTTTGTTTTGATGTATTTTTTTTCCAGTAAGGTGATTTGGTAGTGTTTATTTTTTTCTTAATAAGGACAAAGTAAACAACAACGATAACAACGAAGTTCCCCCAACCCTGGAGCTCAGGAGCCTTTTAAGGCACAGGGTTTCTGGGTTTCATCCCAAGGTGACTATTCATCGCATCCCCCTCTTTCCCACCCCCTCTATTTTCCCCCTTTTCCCTTTCAGGGTGCAGGAGGATCCCCACAGCCAGGAGGGAAGTCCAGCGGAGGATCTCCGCCCCCGAGGCAGAAAATAAATGGCAGGAGGGAATGAGGAGGGACCAGGGCAATTTGGGGTGGAAGTTATTAAACCTGATAAGAATGAATCTGCAAAGGGCGATTGTCTGTAAATCTCGAGACTGCCGCCCGCCTCGCGCTGGAGCGGGGACTGTCACGGAGGAGAGGGTTCCGGACACGGGCTCCGTAAAAGCCAAGGGAATGCTTCAGAGAGTGCAGAATGAACAATTGGGCAGATTTTAAACTGAAATTGTTAAAATGCTAGGTGAAATGAAAGGGACACAAAGAAGGTGCTTCAAAAGGAACTTTAGAAAGAAACCCTATCTTAATTTCCAGTTTTCATTTTTATGCTTTTCCTTCCTTCCTTCCTTCCTTCCTTCCTTCCTTCCTTCCTTCCTTCCTTCCTTCCTTCCTTCCTTCCTTCCTTCCTTCCTTCCTTCCTTCCTTCCTTCTATTCTTCCTTCTTCTGCTTTAATTCTAACACCTTAAGTTATACAAAATCTATTCAGATTGTCCACTAGAAACATAAGCAAATATTTATTTTCTTGGCCCCCAGGGCTGGTTTGGACATTCTTCCTAATGTGCAATGAGACTGGAGACACGTTTCACCCTCCCTTTCCACCCTTTCC